AAACAAAACTCAACAATATTAATTCATCAATCAATTAATGACTGAATTTAACAATCGAAAAGTTTATTCACTTCACTAAACCGCCCTAGATTATGTTGTTTGGTCGAATTTAAATATAAACTATGACAGAAAATATGTTTATATAGTTTGCCAATTGAATTAAATGTTTAACTGATTTTTCAAATCGTACATAATTTCTGAAATAATAATAAACTTTCCCAAGTTTATTTTTATTTAAAATCATAGAGGAATATGACTTAAATAAACAAAAAGGTGATGATTAGTAAATATATTAAATATCAAAGAATAAAATAGTAGGTAAAAAGATTCAGTCATAAAATATAATCACTGTATATAGTAAATATAAATATTATAAACTGTTTACGGTTACAGTGTCATTTATATTTGGTAAATAATTATACTCTAATATCGTTTTTTAATCATTGTACAAATTCATATAACAGACAGAAATTTTCTATTCTAAGCTGTTTCTTGCATTTATCAGGCTTAGTTAACTGGACATTCCAAATGAAATGCATAGAATATATAAAAAGATAGGTGGGAATAAAATAAGTAACAGATTTTAAACAATTTGTTAGAGGATTGTCTTTTATTAGTTATCAGACAATACGTAAATTTACCTGTATCCCTTCTACGAGATACAACTTGACTGTTTTTACTTACTTACTTACGACTGTTACTCCTAATGGAGCATAGGACGCCGACCAGCATTCTCCAACTCACTCTGTCCTAAGCCTTCCTTTCTAATTCCATCCAATTCTTGTTCATTTTTCTCATATCTATCTCCATTCCCGGCGTAATGTGTTCTTTGGTCTTCCTCTTTTCCTTTGTCCTTCAGGATTCCATGTGAGGGCTTGTCTTGTGACGCAGTTGGGTGCTTTCCTCAGTGTGTGTCCTATCCACTTCCAGCGCTTCTTCCTAATTTCTTCCTCTGCTGGGATCTGGTTTGTTCTCTCCCACAGTATGTTGTTGCTAATAGTGTCCGGCCAACCGATCCGAAGGATTTTGCGTAGACAATTGTTAATAAACACCTGTATCTTCTGGATGATGGCGTTCGTAGTTCTCCAGGTTTCCGCCCCATACAGTAGAACTGTCTTGACATTTGTATTGAAAATCCTGACTTTGGTGTTGGTTGACAGTTGCTTTGAGTTCCAGATGTTCTTCAGTTGTAAATATGCTGCTCTTGCTTTACCGATCCGCGCTTTCACATCTGCATCAGACCCACCATGTTCATCAATGATGCTGTTGACTGTTCTTAGATTAGGTAAAACCCATCGGACCCAATCTGGACAGAAAAGATTAGTTTTAGGGAAAATGCTGTTGTACTCTCCAGTCAGTCAGCCACAACATAGGACCAGGCACATATATGCGTCGGTCCAAGTTGCCATACCTCATTAACACAACAAGATGAACACCGGACTCATGAAAGTAGTTAATTCAGAGGTGGCTATAAATAAAAGAAAGATTGCATATAAGGATATAGTACAGGAAGAAAGAATTAGTTCGTAGAAAGAAAGATATGAAGCAATTTTAATCTCTTAGTTTAAGGGAAGACAGAGAGTGTATACACCTACGCCATTGCGATCGATTCTGGATCATGTCACCCAGAGTCTCCAACCATTGGTTACGATAGTCACGCGGACCCCAACCAAGTAGTCTGCATCTACCAACATGGCTCAGACTAGAAGTTAGTGACTTCAAGCACTGATGCCACGTTTTGGTTTGGCCGCCCCTAACTTTCTTCCAACAATCCCCAACACCGGTTAGCATTGCACGTCGTAGTAATCGGTGTTCGGGCATACGTAACACGTGACCCAACCATCTCAGTCAAAGAAGATTCACAACCTCATCGACTGATTTACCATCATTCCCTAATACCCTGCGTCTAACCTCACTATTACTTACCCGGTGATCCCAGCAGATGCCAGCAATATTTCCGAGGCATCTGTGGTCAAATACTAGTAGCTTACGAGTATCTCCTACTCTTAAAATCATCCTGTGACAACCATAGAGGGATTAGTTTAACTAATATAGTATCTAAAATACTAGCCTCGATAATTATGAGACGGCTAACTAAGACTCGTGAACTGCAAACACGAGAGAATCAAGCTGGCTTCAGACCTGGTCGTGGCTGCATCGACCACATATTCACTATTCGTCAGGTTCCAGAACACAGCCATACTTATCGGCGTCCGGCAATCGTGGTCTTTCTTGACTTAAAAGCAGCATTTGATTCTGTAGACCGCGAGACTCTGTGGCAGTGTCTGTCATTGAAAGGCGTACCTCAGAAGTACATAAACCTTGTGAAGGCTCTTTACTCGAACACTACCAGTCGAGTCAGAGCTTATGGTGAACTGTCACCTGATTTCTCAACCTCAAGTGGTGTCCGTCAAGGCTGTCCACTTTCTCCATTTTTTTTAACTTCATCATAGACCTACTGATGGAAATAACACTCTCGTCTACTGAATTCTCGGGTATTGATCTCCTTCCAGGAGGTCCACTTATCGACTTAGAATACGCGGATGACATAGTCCTGTTTGGTGAAGACGCTGATAAAATGCAGGGTCTTTGGGTAGCACTAAGCAACAATGCCAGAATGTTTGGAATGCGCTTCCCTCCATCTAAATCCAAGTTGTTGCTTCCGGACTGGTCTGCGTTAACACCTGAACTAAGGATAAGGAGTGAAGTGGTCGAACGCGTTGACAACTTCACTTATCTTGGAAGTCTGATCAGCCCTAATGGGCTGGTGTCTGACGAAATCTCAGCACGGATTCGAAAAGCTCGTTTGGCTTTTGCCAACTTGCGTCACCTATGGCGAAGGCGAGATATCCATCTATCAATAAAAGGACGAGTATACTGCGCGGCAGTCCGTTCTGTTTTAATTTACGGCAGCGATACATGGCCATTAAGAGTAGAAGACACTCGTAAGCTATTAGTATTTGACCACAGATGCCTCGGAAATATTGCTGGCATCTGCTGGGATCACCGGGTAAGTAATAGTGAGGTTAGACACAGAGTATTAGGGAATGATGGTAAATCAGTCGATGAGGTTGTGAATCTTCTTTGACTGAGATGGTTGGGTCACGTGTTACGTATGCCCGAACACCGATTACTACGACGTGCAATGCTAACCGGTGTTGGGGATTGTTGGAAGAAAGTTAGGGGCGGCCAAACCAAAACGTGGCATCAGTGCTTGAAGTCACTAACTTCTAGTCTGAGCCATGTTGGTAGATGCAGACTACTTGGTTGGGGTCCGCGTGACTATCGTAACCAATGGTTGGAGACTCTGGGTGACATGATCCAGAATCGATCGCAATGGCGTAGGTGTATACACTCTCTGTCTTCCCTTAAACTAAGAGATTAAAATTGCTTCATATCTTTCTTTCTACGAACTAATTCTTTCTTCCTGTACTATATCCTTATATGCAATCTTTCTTTTATTTATAGCCACCTCTGAATTAACTACTTTCATGAGTCCGGTGTTCATCTTGTTGTGTTAATGAGGTATGGCAACTTGGACCGACGCATATATGTGCCTGGTCCTATGTTGTGGCTGACTGACTGGAGAGTACAACAGCATTTTCCCTAAAACTAATCTTTTCTGTCCAGATTGGGTCCGATGGGTTTTACCTAATTTAAGAACAGTCAAGTTATATCCCGTCGTTACCGCAGCTATTCGGTCGGTCCCCCCCCCAGTCTACTACATTGTCCGGACATCTCATGTACCTATACTAATTGTCGCTCTGGTCGTTAGAAGGGACGTCTGCCTCGTGAATTCCGAAGAATCTCGACTTTCACCATGAGGCATCATAACTGTTTTAAGTAAATATCCTTCAACTCCCAGAACGGAGTTCAAATGGTTTAAATGACTCTTTCTGGTTAGAGTTTTTAATAATGTTGTTTTCTATGGGATGACGTTTCTGAACCCATACCCAACCCTTCTCTTCTATCCGAGTTAGAAAGCGACAGTAACTGTAGTAGGGCTACAAATGGAGTTATTTAACTTTCAGCCAAACCTTTTTGTGTGAGTGATGATGATAGTTCACAATGTTTAATTCAGAATAACTGGGGCTATGTTCAGACCTCTAAATTAACATTTAGGAATGAAGCGCCATAACCTTCAAGATTACTCAGCAAAAAATTTAGATAAATGTGGATAACCAATTATAAAGTGCTAGCGGATACAAATAAAAAGTTATTAGTTACATTAGCTAATAACTTGACGTAATCAATAATAAACGAAATGGAAAACTGAAGACTAGCAAAGTGACTTATTGAGAAGATAAAATGATTGTGGCATTATAGTAAGTACTCAACGGCTATCTGAAGTGATAAAACACTACTTTATTGCAATGAACCAATGTTCCACTTTCGCCATGTTCATAAAGGAATAAAACTAAAACCATACTACACCATACAGATTAATTATAATATATATATTAAAAAGAAAAAAACAATTGGTGGTACAACCATGACTAAACAAAATAATGTAAGTGAACTAATTACATCACATGACTCTAATGTGTAAAAAGAGATCATCTAAATCAATAAGATCATACGTATGATATTTTTGAGAACAAATTCAGATTTTACATTTACTGCTTTTTTTTTCTCCATATCTATTTTGGGAGTCATGGTTTGTAATGTTTAACAAACCTGAAGTAAACTGTGATTCTTCCTGTAATTATACGGTTAGCAATAAATGCACATGAGTCAGTTTTATATTAGCTTAAATAATAAAGCTCGCATATGATGATATCGGTATTTGAAACTGTGCCACTAAATAATGCAGAGTCGGATATCATTGTGAGTAATTTTCTACAAAACAAAAGTATAAAAATTAGCCAATCAATCCATAAGCGAATCTAATCCAGAACTTCAAGATATTTCTTTAATCAACACTAAGGGCATAACATCAAGACGTTTTACAATATTCAATATTGGCTGAGTCACATGACAATATAGATTAAAAAACTTACTCATCTAAGTCCAGTGAGTTATGTCTGTCATTAGTCCTGAAAACATCGATAGAATTCGGAAGAACATTTGAGTTCGTATTTAGATCGTTATTGAATGAGAAAACACCAAGAGATTCATTTGTCTGTTGACTAAAACTTGATTCATTCATATAACCATGAGTTTCTTTAGCCGACTCAGTTGAATCAGTCAGATCCGTGGGACTAATTGATTCAGAAATGCTTGTTGCTTCAACAGCAATTTCAACATCTAATTTGTTTTGCCCACTAAACTCATCAATATACCCAGTATATGATGTGGAATCTTTGTCGCTTGTCTAGATGAATTGAGAGGAATAGCAGAAAAAATACATATGTAAAAAATTATTACATAATGTGTCAAAAACTAATATGCTAGTGATTTATATAATTAGTTTGATAATAGTCGAATTAACCATCAAAATGTTACTTGCTAAGTGCGGATTGGTTTTTTTACCGATGCTTATTTACAGCACAAATCACTAAATACAACAAGAGGATATATATATATAAAGAGAGGAAGAGAGAGCATTAAACGTTTAGTCATTTGATAACCTACATGTGAGGATGGTGAATGCACATTCGCTTCTCCAGACTGCCGAGTACCCATACTAATAGTTCTCATTGCTTCATCTAAACCACTAATATCACCATCTTTGTCAGTGAAAAACTTGATTGTTCCAACAGAATCCCAGTCGTGTCTACTTGAGCTACCACGGATGTTTAAACCAGGCAGCTTTGGTTTTTTCGCACTCCTAAACATAAAAAGGTATAGTTAAAGACATTGGTTAGTAACAACCTAGTGTTAAAAAAATATGTGACTTTCGATGGAGCCGAAAATCGATCAAGGACTAAGAAGTTCCTTAAGACAGTGACTTCGTCAAGTTATTTCAATCATTATGGTGACGCTAAATACGGAGTTCAATGACTGTAAATATGAATAATAACAACTAAGTAAAATTTTTACCGGAGCATCTGACGAAGATTTTAGATTGGGAAATATGAAGTGAATGTTTCAGGAGGAAAAACTAAACTACAAATACTCTTTGTCAGCAAAGTGAGATATGTGATGTGAATAACAGGGTCAAAAATACATGTGTTGAGAGTTTTAGGTTAAAAATGCTGAGAACAATGTGATGTATGCAACCCAAGTTCAAAAGTTGTGCGTCGCAAAATGACGAGGTATGTGTTCGGTGTGGATCTTCAGTGTGGATCGGACTTTAGTAGTGAAGAGACACAATGTTGGTGCAAAGCGAAGCAAGAAATTCCTTGACTTACCTTTGGTGTTCGTTGTCGCTTACTACAATACTTTTGTGGACACTTGAATCTGTCCTTACACCATACAGGTAACGTTGAACAGAACAACTTAAGCTACATTTAAGCCGAATACGTTTGGTTGAAATAACAAATTTATACACAATCTAATAATCGTTTTTGAGTTACCCCACTTAATTTGTTGAAAGTAGTGCTTTGCTCCCAAATGCCCTGGTACGGCCGAGAGTGTGGTGAGTCCGCCCTCCCTCTCGAAATGCTCTCACACGGCCACGCGTATACAGCCTCTGTCAGGGAAGTCCTACTCACTGCCTTCTCTAGGCAGGGTGTTGTTTACGAAAATGAGAGGACGAAAAGCGAATGTCCGATGCTTTAACCGGATCCCAAACCAATGGTGCACATGGGCTCCAGTATCCTGCAGGAACAAATGGCGTATGAACCAATCGTTGGTCACTGGCTACCATGGGACTGCATCTCCTCACGATGCTCCACTGCCATGTAGGTTAGACCTTTAGGTCAAATGCTCGGGGTGTGGCCCCCTAAGATAACCACCTGCTTCGGTCCGGGTAGCCGGGCAGTATCACAGCCCACATACAAATAAAATGAAAATGACGATATTTACTGAGAATTCTATTCACGCTTCGATTAACAGTCAAACAATTCACATTATTATTATTTACCACGTCACTTATTCACTCTCTTATATTCCCACTCTATGGTGGAAACTCGGTTCTATCTAAACGTTCTCGAGTCACTGCCTGGTTGAAAATTGTATGTTACCACCGAATATGAGTACTGAAGCAGTTTTAATGAAACCACGTGCATCATTCAAACTGGCTGCCTTCAACCTTCGCACACTTATGCAGGTTGGACAACAGATAGGGCTGGCTATGTCCTTAGAAAGTCTTAATATCGATGTCTGCTGTCTATCCGAGACCCGTATTCAAGACTCTGGTGAAGTACTACAAATTCGCTCTCCACCTGTCGCTTAGAAAAGCTTGTCTCACGTGCGTCTATACGGGGACTATATGGCATCTTCGTCTGGTCTTGCTGGCGTTGGTGTCGGACTAAGCGCTAGAGCTGAGGCAGCACTAATCGATTGGATCCCCATTAACAGTCGGTTATGTGCTGTTAGAGCAGAGAGTTCCATCAAAGTGAGAAGAAATCGGAGTGAGAAACGATGTCTTTTCATCATCTCCGCCTATGTCCCGACAGATTGCAGCCCGGATGCAATCAAGGATGACTTTTACCACCAGTTATCTGTTCTTCTCCAGAAAGTGCGTTCGACAGATATTATAGTACTAGCCGGAGACTTGAATGCTCAGGTCGGGCATCTAGGCACAGAAGAGAGTCGTTTAGGTGGCCGATGGGGACTTGTTGGTCGCAGGACAGATAACGGGGACCGTCTACTGCAACTGTGCACAGACTACAACCTGTTTCTGGTTAGCACTAACTTTCGGCACAGTCATCGCCGATGTGCCAGCTGGCGTCCTCCCTCTGAATATTAAGCCTGGACTCAGATTGATCACATCGCGATCAGCTACCGCTAGTGTGGTTGTGTACAAGACTGCCGCTCCTTTTGGAGTACCTATTTGGACTCTGAACATGCCCTGGTCTGCGCCGACCTTACCTTACTTTTCAGTGGCCAACGAAATGACCGCCACCAACGGAATGATATAAGTTGGTTGCAACTTCTGTTGCTAGTGAGTATCGAATCGAGCTAGCTTCTAGGCTAGCTACCATTCCACCGAAAAGTATAGATGAGCATTGGTTGCAAATTCATGACGCCATGAAAATGGCGAGTAAAGCCGCTTGTGGCTTCGCGAAACGTCTCGCTTATAGGCACTGGGTTTTTTCAGGCTCCTTACAACTCCTTGAAGCCCGTCGGTCTACTCCGGGTGACTGTGAGTTTGACCACAAAAGAAGGCTGTTGCGTAATGAAATCGGGCAAATCTTGCGTAAAGTGTTTGTAACTTCCTTGACTGAGAGAATTCCTCTGGTTGTACCTTTTCGTTTCCCCTATTATTATTATTATTACGCTACCACACACTAAGCTGTGGCCATTATTGTTTTTTTTATACGCACCTTACCTTCTTTTTCTCTTCCCATTCTCATTGTTTTGTGTGGCCAAATTAGTAAGAAGTAACCTCCAACATTGCAGTTGGATGCAGTCAAAGATGATTTTTACCACCAGCTAAATGATTTTGTCATCGAAGCGCATCTAATAGGTACTGCAGTGCTAGTTGACAATTAACCCTTGACGTAGGTTTTGAGTTACTCAATACTTGTAAACAATTTGTATCGTAATATTCAGGTAACTGGAGCTGGTTGAAGGACTCAAGTAAGTCAGACCATTGATCTTGCTGACGGGTGTCAAACAGCATGAAACCTAGGTTCAAAATTCCGTGTAGATTGCCTCAAAGCATCTAAAATACCAACACGGCGCATGCGATGTCAAATGCTGGAACTATTGTCGACGTTGCATCTTTATATGCAAAATCCAATCAGCTGTAAAAGGACTAAACAAGTACAATATCGGTCACTACTTGGTGGTTAATCAATTACACATTGTACTTCATTCGACAACGTGAAAATTGATTGGAAAAAGTGGGTGTGCAATTTATGACAGTTAGTCAGCCATACTCAACGTAAACCTGATACATATGTGTCAGTTTAAATTACCATACCACATCAGCACACTGAGTGGTAGGAATAGTAACAGCATCAGTATTAGTAATAGCAGTAGTAGAAAATACTAAATATCGAGAAAGATAAAGAAAAGTATAAGATTTAGGGACTCAGGTTTTAAGGGAAGAAAATAACGTCAATCCGAATCAGACAGTCCACTTGTTAATGATTTCATGGACTGATAACATGTTTCGTTTGACCGACCCCAGCTTCGTTCCAGCCTACTCCTATACTAAACAATATCACTCTCCGAGAGTATACGTAACGCAAGTCCCAACCACATGAATTGATGAAGTTTCCAAATTACTAACATTCATTTATTTACTTGATTATACCACATCACCTTTATTTATCTCCTCAAAACTTCATTCTCTGATTAGCGTAGCTTATATTTATCTTGGATTCTGTTTCCACAAACCAATGTCGTTAAATAAAATAAATGTTTATGAATACTGTGTTAATCACCCAAGGTTATGTGAACAAGATTATAAGAATAAATACAAACTTTACTAATGAGAAGTAACAGGCGTCAAAAATCACAATATTCTACTTAAAGCCTATGGAAACCTAATGAGGAAGTTTTTCACTCTACATTCTGACCAATATCATACATTGAAAGCCTGGATTATCCCGTCATTACAGCGAATTAATTGCAGCATTAAGACAGACAATATAATAAGGAAAACTGGAACCTAGAAATCAAAGCTTTCTGTGTGGTTGTAATTATTCTTACCAAAACCTTTGGGTTAAGCGATGGAGGTCGCTTTAAAAAAGACAGTATAAATAATAATTTCGAAACGAAAACCACGGTGATAACTTTGTGTTGTTGACTATAAATCTTACTTCATTTTAAGGATGGGCGGCTATAACGATGACGAAAAAGGCACGTTCGGAAATACGATTCTAGTCAGTGTTACAAATAGACCCCATAAATAACTACAGTTATCATCAATGGTTTGTTTCGTAGTTACCACTCAGAAAGAATGCATAAGTCTAGATAAAACACTTCTTGTAAAAAAGCAGATTACCACCTGTTGAGTTACCTTTATTTTCTTCCTATGATTGACTGACCGCTTTTAGAAAAATTGACCTCAAGAGAAAGATTTACATAAAGAACTAGGCATCTGAATTAAATATTTTCCACCAACAAAGCATAGTAGTCCCAAGATAGGTTTTTCATGCGTACATACACAATTATATGGTATACAAAAACCTAGGGTGCTTGCCTGGCACCTAGCTATATTTATAACAAGCCAAATGCAGAAAAAATATAGACGAAGTGACAAGAAACTTTATTCATTGTTATCAGTTCAACCTGATCAAAAGCGACAGACCCTACGTGAAATTCGGTACATCACGCTAGCGCTTTGTTTCTATTTCATCATGATTCCACATATTCTGTGCAAATATATGCTGTGTATGAGGTTGCGCCGAATAGATAGCCCACCCAGTTCCCAGCCCAGATAACCTCTAGGCCAAATTTCGACCACGAAGCTACACGTGCACCAGTCTACGATATTTATCCGACGTACAAACACTAGCCTAGATCTAACCTGACACAAACCCATTAGCTAATAAGTATCATGTGTTAACACATGACATTACTATCCAACAGGAGCACATGACACAGTAAAGCCTGAATTACATGATGACTTACATTTATACGTGGTAATAGTTGTCCTTTGTATATAAACAACACATCACTGTATATCTACGTTCAGACAGAACGTTTCGAACAGAGGTAACGCACACTAGGTTTGCCCCGCGCACTGTTAACCTGCACCAATAGCTCTAAAACCAAAAATACTTTTCGTCGCGATCTAATTTTTTACATTTTCGCTTAATTTATACAGTAATTGTTAACAACTACACGTTTTCGTCCAATTCGGCATCCGATTCTTTTCGTAGACTTCAAATATCACACTGGTTACGGCTCATCAGATATACCGCTTCATATATCACACCGTGTTCTGCCTCATATTGCTGCGATATTAACAGCGCTTTTATATACCCGCTACACACATTTACAAACTGTGCTTTTTAACTCTACCTGGTCAATCATCCATCATCATCTTGAACAGTGTCCTTAATTTTGGAGTTATCTGTCTGTTATCAAAACTACGGAATCATTTTTAAGCCTATCGACCAAACAACCACCAACGAATTTCAAGTAACTCTCGTGTCATCAATACATATTACATTTTATATGCTACCAGCTTATTTTTATATATTTACATCCTCATAACATGACTACTGATCGAGTATGGCTCTTCTGAGCGACTACGAACTTTTTAAGCCTTCTTATGGATATAGGGCCTAGTGGTAGATGTTGTAAGTAGGTGGTGCTATAAGCCCCATTTTTTCGTTTGTTTGACATAATTTATGTGTAACGGTGAATAAGTCTCCAATATAAATAGCTCTGTAGGTCGTTAGTTTGACTGGACACATCTAACTGAAGGCGCTGGGTCACGCGTTCGCATAAGATCACGAGTAAGTACACCGTGCTAAGCATCTCTTACGACTGCCAATCAGCTTAGACCAAACGCTTCTCGACATACTGATAGCTTTTAGTTCTGACTGGGTTGGCACACTTCGATTATAAATGTGTCGCGCGTCAATGCATTGTCAAACTCCAAATACCTACGGCAACTTTATATGCTTTTCGTCCAGCATTATTTGTTTAGTTTCAGTTTAGTTGCTTTTTTTGATGCTGCGACTGACCAAAATATGCCAATTCATGCTACGTTTATATCTATGATACCATTTCGTGGATTTTAGTTAATTCTCTCTGTGTGTGCACTTCGACTGGCTTGTGAATGATTATCAGGCAAACGAAAATTGGGAAAAAACGGTGTGATTGAAGGCAAAACGCACTCGGAACACTGGTAACCAGCAGCCACCATCTTGTTGAAGGAATCCATGATTGTTTCTGTTCTTAATCTATGGTGAAATAAGATTCGAAGGCAACGCGTTACTTATTGTTTTCATTTTCTGTTCTTTAAATGGTCTGACTCGACGAAATTATACGGTACGATGCAAATGATCACGTTTAATACAACCTACAACCCCGTTTTTTCATAAGTTGAGTGCAGGTATTTCACATTTCGTTACGCAAGCATGGTGAGCCTTACGGTTTATTTTTATTTCCACTCAGTGTTTCGAGAAGTTAGTTTTTAAAAACATTTTCAGTATGGTTTGTAACCTGTTCCATGAAGATGCATTATTTAATCGTCAATAGTTGAGTTACATCACATCTTTAAAGTCTTTGTGTGCTATGTAAGATCGGTAGCAGATGGTTTGCACGTAAATTTCGCGTTTCTGAAGTTGTTTGGAAGATTTTAAAGATATATTGTTCTATTAATTCTGTTGTATGAATATTAAGCCATGGTGAAAAGAATGAAGAATTAAATACACCTCACTTGAAATGAAATAAACAACACAATTGTAGAGGCAGAAGGCAACTTAGGGTCATTTCAAACAACAACAGACTCAGCGAGGCGAAACGCAGAACGAAACGTGCCATGAATTGATGCTGAAATTAGCCACACTCCTTCATTAGCACAAGGATTTTATTGGTCGCCAAGACGAATGGTGGAATAACTGTGATACGATCACATTCATCAGGTTTTCAGTACGACGTGTTATGAATTTTTATCTGAAGACCCCATTTACAGCAAACCATAGAAATAACTGCACAAATCACAAACTTGTAGCGGTAAATAAATCCCCAAAATAAATAGCACTAAGTTTTCGACATTGGATGCTGACCATATGTTTTAGTGGACTCACCTAGCTGAAGGCGCTCGGTCAGTCATCCGCACCAGATCACGTGTGGTAACGCCGTGCTCAACATCAACCGCAATCGCTAGCCAGATTATATCAGAGAATTCCGATATATTGGTCATCGCCAAATATACTCTTCCAATCTCCTCGACTCTGTCTTTTGATTTCTCTGGGCGGGAACGAAATATATTAGAAGGTGTTACTGGTAGAAGCGTTGTCAAACACTGAATACCTGTGACATCATCATTGGTGAGCCCGACGTGATCTGGTACACCTAATTGCAACTGTGAGTCTGTTCCTTTTTGGGATTTTTATATATCATTGCCTTATTTTTTTAACTTTTTTAAACATTGTGACTTTTTTTCGTGTTTTTTCCTGGATATATATATTTTCCCCTTGTTCATTATCGTACTTCATACTTCATCATGACTGAACAGACACCTAAAGTACTCAAGCTTAAGACTTTGTCCCCGCCTTCGTTTCGACTGATGTCTTTCTGGCCCGACAACATCGAAGCCTGGTTTTGCTACGCAGAAGCCGACTTCTCCGAGCACGGCGTGATCGACACACGTGCACAATTCCTCGCAGTAGTCAAGGCACTACCGCGCGAATTCAACAGGTACGTAACACCTAGTATGTTTACTAGTGATGTTTCCGATCCTTACGAAATCTTAAAACGCTCGATTCTTAAACGAGGAGACCTAACCGATCGACAAAGGTTAGATCAACTCTTCAACAATATCGACCTGCAACATGGTTCTGCGACAGACATGTTGCAACGGATGAGAGAGGTAATAGGCCCAAGAACTTTCGACGAAGGCCTATTCAAACAACTCTTCTTGTCAAAACTTCCCCAACAGGTGCAAGCAGTTCTGGTCTCGTTCCAGAACAATGCCTTAGACGAGCTAGCTGCATCTGCCGACCGCATATTAGAAATTACGAAATCTACTACCGAGGTATTTTCAGTCAAAGAAAAACCTCAAACGACTCAGAATGATATAAACGACTTATGTCACATACTCACGCGTTATCTTAGTCTTCGTACCGACCGTAAGAGATCGCGCACACCACGTAGAAGCATTTCTCGTAAGCGATCTGTCTCTAGACCACGAGAGACAGATAACCCCGACTGGTGCTGGTATCATAACCAGTATGGAAAGTCTTCCAGAAATTGCAGAAAACCCTGCAATTTTCCCAACACGAAACCGACTGATTCGAAAAGCAATTCGGGAAACTTCCAAGCCGGCACGCGTTAACGGCAACCGTAGCCGGCGAACAAAGCCGTCTGTTATTCGTCACAGATGTGACAACGAGAGTTTGCTACCTCGTCGACACTGGCGCAGAAGTTAGCGTTCTCCCAGCAAATCCTAACGACCGACTACACGAATCGACCTTAAACTTACAGGCGGCAAACGGAAAACCGATCGCTACGTATGGCAAAAGGTACGTTTACCTTAACGTGGCTTTACGCAAACCCATCCACTGGATTTTCGTTGTTGCAGATGTTTCTATGCCAATCATTGGTATGGACCTTCTACAACACCACAATCTGATCATCGACACTCGCAAACGGAGGCTAGTAGACGGAAACACTAATTTGTCCGTTTGCGTAACTTCCTTTACTGGTTGTAGAGTATCCCCAGTCACAGTTAAACATATGATAGACCCACTCTATCAACCACTTCTCGATAAGTACCCTGGGATACAACAAACTCAACCGAAACTACCGTGTGTAACCAGCAATGTTACACATCACATCACGACTACAGGACCACCTGTATTCTCTGAAGCACGACGACTAGCTCCGGAAAAGCTAAGGTTAGCGAAAAACGAATTCGATCACATGATGGACTTAGGAATCATACAACCGTCAAGTAGCCCATATGCATCTCCGTTGCACATGGTCCCTAAAAAGGACAGCAACGATTGGCGTCCAACTGGTGACTATCGGCGATTGAACGCGAAAACCATTCCCGATCGTTACCCGTTGCCTCACATTCACGATTTGACAGCTACCTTGAAAGGTACAACTGTCTTTTCGAAAATCGACTTGGTTAAAGCGTATAACCAAATCCCTATGGCTACTGGCGACATACCGAAAACAGCTATCATAACTCCTTTCGGACTCTATGAATTTTTGCGAATGCCTTTCGGTCTAAGGAATGCTGCTCAAACATTCCAAAGATTCATAGACGACGTTTTTCGAGGTCTCAACTTCGTACATGCGTATGTTGACGACTGTCTAATCGCAAGTCCGGACAGAGAAACACATCTCAAGCATCTGGATCTTGTTTTCGAACGACTACAAAAACATGGCATAACTGTAAACGTTCAGAAATGCCAATTCGGAACCGACTCGTTAGACTTCCTAGGACACACTATCGATGCTCAAGGCATTCGACCTCTTAGGACCAAAGTGGCGGCCATTCTGGATTACCCAGAACCGACCACCGTCAAGCAATTACGCACGTTTAACGGCCTGGTAAGTTTCTATAGACGTTTCATACCGAAATGCGCATTACTTATGAAACCTCTGACCGACCAACTTCGTGGAAATGCGAAATCCATTAATTTGGACGACACCGCACGAAAAGCATTCTCCACAGTTAAGGAACTGATTGCTAAAGCAACGATGCTCGCACATCAGGACACCCGAGCACCCATTAGCATCGCAGTAGACGCATCCGACTCGGCAATCGGAGGAGTCTTACAACAATGGGTTAACAACTCCTGGCAACCCTTGGCATTTTTCTCTAGAAGGTTGCTAGACACCGAATCGAGGTACAGCACATTCGGTAGGGAACTCCTAGCTATGTATTGTGCTGTACGGCATTTCCAACACTACATCGAAGGCCGTGAATTCACTCTTTTCACGGACCATAAACCGCTCACTTTCTCGTTAAGCTCTCCTTCTGACAAGTACTCTCCACGTGAGTCTCGACAACTGGACTACATTTCGCAGTTTACTTCAGATATTCAACACATCTCTGG